GCCACTGACCAGACCAAATGTGCAGGCAGGTTGACATTCTTACTAACTTTACACCACCTTTAATGAGCATCTGTGACCTTTTACAATAGATCTGAACTCGGTACAACTTGAGACTTGTGTGTTTTCATTTTCTTTTACCAGCTTCTGTTTAGAAAAAACTTTTAGGAGTTCCATTCCCTTTCTTCAGCTAACCAGGGATGTTTATCCATTATTAAATTACAAGTGTCAGATGTACAGTTGACTCCGAGCCATAGTTCATAAGTTAAACACTGAGAAGATTCACTGCTTGTCTGTATTTAGCTTGAGTGGCTTAGTTCTAGAAAAAAACACCCGGAAGTAAATTCTCCCAATTAATTCTACTTAGTTCTGTAAAAAGAATTTACCCTGATGAGGGTCTAGAGTTACCTACCACAAAGGAAGCATGAACGATGTTTGTAGCGTGCCTCATTGGTATTGTAAGGGTGCCCACTCATTCTTGTATTGCTTCTTAAAACATTTTGTGACTTTCACTTTGAGTCTTCCTGGAAGTGGAACATTTCGGCTGCTTTTGTAATTACAGCTTTGCATAAGGTACACTGACCCTGTAGGGCAGGTATCTGTAATCACAATCAAGAATATAGTTGCTCTCCACATAAAGAGATCCTTGATTTTTCACTTAAGACACCATAGATTGTAATACGCACATTTATTTTATATACACCTAACAAAGGGAAAAGCCCACTGACAGTTTTAAGATGAATCATAGTTTCAAAGCTATTAAATGTGATAAAATTACACTTCATAGAGTGAATGATAGTAGTTCCCATATCTGGTTTTGTGGTCTGTGAGTTCATAGATGACATTTGCATTCTGTCATCTTCTGCCTGTCAGGACACTTGTTTCTTTTCCTTTTTATTTTTTTATTTTTATTTTTTTTTAAAGATTTTATTTTATTTATTTGACAGACAGAGATCACAAGCAGGTAGAGAGGCAGGCAGAGAGAGAGGAGGAAGCAGGCTCCCCGCTGAGCAGAGAGCCCGATGCAGGGCTCGATCCCAGGACCCTGGGATCATGACCTGAGCCGAAGGCAGCGGCTTATCCCACTGAGCCACCCAGGCGCCCCTCTTTTCCTTTAGAACACTTCCAGTACCAGTCATCAGGCCTCCCCAGGTTCCCCTAGCAGACATCATGAATCGAATTCTGTGCTGTTGCCTATGGAAACCCAGGCAGCCTCCCCCTCCTCCATACTAAGTAGCCTGCCTTCAGCTGGAATGCACTGATTGGTCTGCCTACATTGAGACCCTCAGCTTTCAGCTGTTTGATTGGATCTATTAACTTCTAAAAGGCAACCCCCCACCCACCCAAGGCCCATGCTTATTGGGTATTTTTTATTTTCCCTCCTTAATTGCAAATTGTATGTTTGTGTTTTTGAAATTTACTTAGCTCTTTTACCTGTCATTTCCCCACCCCACCTGCCCCTCGTTTCCTTCAAATGCCCTGTTTAGATAATGGGAACTAGTTTAGCAGGTCCTGGTCTGCATATCTTGGAATGCAGTGCTTGACAAGACTGTGTATGATTTGGAAAAGAAAGCGCTATTTTTTTGTCTCTGTACATAGGGCTTTTATGACTCTTAACCCTAGGAATGATCCTATCCTTGCACACTTGATCCCTCAAATTACAGAAGGGGCTTTGTACCCCTTCCAGCTGATTGAAAAATGGAAGAAACCGTTCCTATCCTAGAATTCCAGGCCCAAGGGCCTGCTGGGGACCTGGCAGGAAACACAAGGGAGCAAGCCTGGCTAGGAGACATTAGGGGGAGAGGACAGTAGAAAGACGTTTGCTATGTAAACCCACTTACTACACAGAGGGGGTGGTCCCTTGCAGTCTCCTGTCAATTCTTGCCCTGCAGGAAGGTAGGCCTGTTACTCCATTTCTTCTGGTTTTTGTGGAGAATTAGTTTGATAAGTCCTATGGCATTGGTATAAATAGAAAGTATTTGGCCGCTTTTGCTTTCCATTGAGGAAGCTGAGAAATAAATGGGCAAAGGCTTGATTGCCTCGGTCCTGTATTGACTCGGACACCAGCTAGTGCCCATGAATACCGGCACGTCCGAAGGCAGGGTGTATGGGTTATAGGTTCTCTCCCTCGTGACCGGCGCTTTCACACTAGTGCCCTGTGGTGCTGGGGCCGCAGCCCTTCAAACCACAAATCCGGACGTTGGGAAAGGGGACTTCCTTCTTCCGTTTGACTTCCTGTTCTTATCAGCAGCAGTTTTTCACCAGAAGCAGAGAGGTTAGGTCTGGCGACTTCCAGAAGGAGCTGGGCATGGCCCCTGGTCCCTACCTGTAACTCCTGCTCTCCTCTCTTTGTTCTCCGGCCCCAGCGGTGGCACCGTCCTTCTGCCATCCTGCGTGTGCCCTTCACCCCGGCAGTTCTCCGTTTCCCGCTCAGCCCTATTTTCTATGTTAAATCACCTCTGTTGAAATGTCTAGTGAGGTGTCCCATCTTCTAAATCAATCCCGACTGCCTGAGACGTTTGAAATCTGCCAAGTCTATTATGAAACCTCGTACGGCATTCACTGATGGGTCAGTCTCATTTTTCTTACCTTTCGGTCATTGGGATATTTCTGTCTGATTCAGTTTGTTGTCTATTGTTCCCTAGGGCTACTATTACAGTATAAACTGGTGACTTAAACAGTAGGAACTTATTCTCATAGAGTTCTGGGTTAGAAGACTGAAGTCCGGGTGTCAGCTAGGCTGTGCTCTTGGAAGGCTGTAGGGAAGAATCTTGCCCTGCTTTTCCCAAGCTTCTGGTAGTTGCTGGCGATCTGTGGTTTTCCTTGGCTTGTTACCGGCATCACTCCTAAATTCTGCGTCTGTCTTCATGTGGTCTTCCTTCTGCGTGCCTGTCTCACATGGCCTTAAGTGGATTTAGGACTCGCTCTAGTCCAGTATGACTTCCTCTTAACTAATCAGCCTGAATGTGGGGGAGACCATATTTAACCCAGTATAGTTACCTACTCCTTTGATAAATACAGTTATGACTGTAGATGTTAGCAAGTGTAAATTATATAGAGATTGTTCCTGCTACAACCCAGTGGCTATGTACCTAGGCCCCATGTAGTTTGGTATGTAATCACACTTGGGACAGGATAGTAAAGGTGGAACAGAAACATTACGGGACAGCGTCCTTCACTGCTAGCTCAGGAAGAGAAGGCATCCCAGGCCATGGATTGTCCGTCTGTGAGCATTCCAGGTTGACCCAAGTGCCACCTCTGATCTTTAAGCCTCACAGGGATTGGGGCAGAGAATGCCTTGAGCAGTTAGCCCACGGTAGCCACGGGTGGTTTGGGGGCAGCCGCAGTGTGGGTGTGACTTTTGTGCCATTGGCCTGTCCTCTTGATAGGATTAAGAGGGTGTCCCCAGTTGTAAGTGACAAAATGAGTCACAACTGTTGAATGGAAAGCATGTTCCTACAAATAAGACTGCTCATGTATTGTTTGATTCCCTTTCTGTGAAATATCCAGGATAGACAGCAGTGTAGAGACCAAGCAGAATACGGTTCCCATCGGGGAGCGGAGGGGAGATGGAGAAAGACTGCCTAACGGGTATGGAAGCTTCCTTTCATTGATGGAAGTGTTCAGAGCTAGATGGTTGTGATGCTTACACAATTATGGAATGTGCTAGATGTCAATAATGTACCTCCAGTACACTTTATGTTCTACCTATTTTACCAGAATTTACAAGCAAAATGGGTAAGAAATACAAGTAGGTCTAGGTACATGACCATACCTGTATGACGGGAGTTAGGTGGGATGAAGGAAAAGGATGCTTGTGGTCTTACCTGCAATGTTTCTCAGCTGAGCACTGTTGGTAACCTCGATTTTTTACTCTCTGAGCTCCTGTGCTGAGCTCCCTCCATGTGTTATCCTGTCTTTTCCTCCTATCGGCCGAGGTTCCAGAAAGCAAGGCACTTGTCTGGGGCCTTCCAAGTAGTAGGACGTGGAACTAGGGTTTGGAACCGGGTTACCTGACTCCTAGGATGACCGTCCAGCCTGCTTTGCCCAAGATGGCCTCAGGTGGATGTGCTCCACAAGCTGAAAACCCTCGGTCCAGGGCGTACTCAGGGTTGGTCACCTGTGAGAAGTTCCTGAACCCAGACCAGGCTCCAGACCCTCAGTGCTTCTCTAGGCCCCTCCTGATGTGGGACACACACCCTAAGACCTGTTGCATCATCAGCAGTTTGGAATCCCTGATTTAATATCTCAGTATCTCAAAGAAATCCTTGTGGCTTTTCAGAACACATCATGTAATATTAATGAAAACACTGGGCCTTCTGTCTTGATTAATTTTTTATGAGCAATAATACCTTTGATTAGACTGGCTGATTTACCTAGGGCTGGTGGGACAGAGTGGGGCGTGTGGTGGTGGGGGAGTGGTCTGGCAAGCTGACTGATCAGAGGGCATGGCCTGCATGGTTTCCCTGGCAGATAGGACAGTATTCCCAGTGTCACTTGGGGTTGGAATGAGCGGTGCTGCTAAATGACTTGACAGGAGCATGGTGGCTAACTGCTGGCCTGCGGCTATGACGCACCTTGACCTGAGTGCTGTGCCCACCTACAGGGTTTTCCCCCATGGCGAGGAAGGCCAGAACATCTGTGGGAAGTGGTTCGTGTGCTGGGCGTGGTAGTACATTTCACATCCAATCCTTGTTCCCACTTTGCGGCTTGGACCCAACTACACTGGTTTCACGGTGTCAGAGTAGCTCCTAATAGGGCTGACGTTCACCGTGTCTGTGCCATTTCCCTCACAAAGAACCCAGCGCTTGGTAGCAGCTCCTTCAGTTACTTTCAGACAGATGCGGAGCTCTCTTTGCAGGCTGCTTTCTGTCCGGGGACGTGGATCAAGCGGTCCCGGGGCTTAGGGAGTTAGCTCCTCGGGTTTGAGACAAGCAGACTCAGTGCTTTGCATGAGGCGTGGAGGTCCTCCTGATGCAATGAGCTTCTTCTTGCTTTTCCAGCTGAGCATCGAGCAGGCCCAGACGGTGGCAGAGCAGGTGGAGATGAAGGCAAAGGTGGTACAGTCGGAGGTCAAAGCTGTGACGGCAAGGCACAAGAAGGCCCTGGAGGAGCGGGAGTGCGAGCTGCTGTGGAAGGTAATGGGTGCTGCTGGCCGGCCAGCAGTTTTTCTGTGAACTGCGGCAAAACCACGAGAATTCTCCTGTCAGATCCCAGATCCCAGATCGAGGTTTAGACCACTCGGAGGTTTGCCATGAAGTTTGTTGGCAGGAAGATGCGGGAGTCCCTGTAACATTGTGGGTGCCGTCCAAGCGCTTAAGCCACAAGAAGGTTTTTTAGGAGTAGTCAGGTGTCCAAGAACCAGAAGGAGCCTCATGTTTTTTGTCGTGCACACTCGAGGCAGAAGGGGGCGCAGGCGAGACTGTTATGAAAGCAGGCTGCTGGGACGTGTCCCTGTTTTTGGTTTCCTGCCTGGTTGCCTTCCTGACCCCTTGTGAGAAACCAGTTTCCCACTAGGGAGGGCAGCAAGCAAATGCCCTTTATTCTGTTGCAGCAGCAAAGTGAGGAGCAGGCTGATGTGCTGTTGCGATAAGTATCAGCTGGAAAGATGACTCTCCCGACCCAAGTCCTCAGCCCAGCATTTTCTTCTCTGGTCTTTACCTCCTGCCCCAGGAAGAGGGGAGACTGTGCCTATGAATGGACCAGTACCTCCAGCCACTTCAACTCTGTAATGCCATTCTCTTAATGCAAGAATAAGACCATACACATAGCTCATTAAAAAGGGTGCACTTAGGTGTGTGCGTGCTTGTTTTAATCATCTGAACTTTGTGAAGGTAGAGATGGGATCTCACTGTCTGAAAGCGATCCTCACCAATCAATCACCATGCCCTAAAATGTTCTGGAAGGCCGGGTTGGGTTTTGCATTGCATTTTCCATTTAGTTAGCACATAACTAATTGCCCTCTGTCTCTGCTGACCTCTCAAAGAAGATGGCTCAGTTGCCTTTTAACGAGAAGAGAAGAATCCTTGGATAGAAAAACTTTTTAAGGACGCCTGGGTGGCTCAGTGGGTTAAGCCTCTGCCTTCAGCTCGGGTCATGATCTCAGGGTCCTGGGATCGAGTCCCGTATCGGGCTCTCTGCTCAGCAGGGAGCCTGCTTCTTCTTCTCTCTCTGCCTGCCTCTCTGCTTACTTGTGATCTCTTTCTGTCAGATTAAAAAAAAATTTTTTTTTAATTAAAAAAAGTTTTTAAGATTTAATTCAGCACATACTTCATGCAGGCACCTTTGTGGGCCTGATGTGGTTTCCAGACACTAACATGCCCCCACAGTCTGCCAGGCTTATGCCACCCACGAATGTTAATTATGACTGAGAAGGGCCCACTTTGTGCAACCTGAGAGCTCCCTGGTGAACTCTGCCACAGACTGGCTCTTCTGGATTTGCTGATGAAAAGGCCTTTGTGCAGAGGAGTTACCCTAGGTACCCTCCCTCCTGTGAGGCTGACTCCTGTCCTCTCCCTAAAGGCATTTCTCTTGAAGGAGGCAGGGAAAGCAAGTTTTGAGTCTTGGAGATGCAAATTGGGAAGAAGAGTCAATCTCTTTGTGTAATACATTTTGTTTCTGTTTCATTTCTAAAACTCAGATAACCTCCAAAATATGCATGCTCATTCTGGATATACCTCAGTCATTGTCTATACGTTTTATTACTATACCTACTGACTTTTCTGCCCCTCCCAGCAAAGCCTTCCTGCCTGTCTCTGCCCTCCTACGTCCTCATTACACATCTTTTTTTCTTGCATTCCCACTACTGAAGATAGTTGAGTACCAGGGGATCCAGCTGTGGATATCTAGATGCACTTCCTCATGCTTGTGGCTTAGAGATTTCCAGTGGACTTGGCTACCTTGTGGGATTAGTTGCAGCTGCCTAGTTGAGGAATCCAGACCAAAGCCCAGAGGTTTGGCCCAATGAAAAACCAGAGGACAAAGCTTCTCTTTGATCTGTCCCCACGTGGGGCCCTCTGCACATAAGGTGTCCTGCTTCCAGAGTGGACAGATGGAAAAGCATGAATGGGTCCAAAAATCACATCT